CTGTATATTGCTAAGGATACTTGAAGGAAAGTTGCAAAGAAACGATTTTAAGTGCTTTCGAAAAATCTAAGATGACTACTAAATCTAATTTCAACCTTTAGTTTTCGGCGGTTCGTCAGATATTTCGAGTCGAAATATATTCGAAGATAGATATTTTCTCAGTTTTTCCATTACTCTATAGATGCTTCTAACTCGGGAAAATAGAAATTTGATATATTTTGTTATTTGATATCAAAGCCAGAGAGTTTCGTAATACATAAAAATGTTGGTTTCGATAGATGCAGTCGTTTGCCCGATACATTTTAAAAATTCGAACCATTCGAAGATAATAGTATTCGGTTTGTGATTCGCTCTTCAAATGATTGTTTAATCTCTATATTGAGGGGTTTTTTTATAGCCTTACGTTTATGTTTTTTTTTTTTTCATAGTACATGAGTGATTCTAACGCTATATCTTGTAGTGAGAAGTAATTTATTGTATTGTTTTTATTCGCCGATTTTGAGTAGAAAAATATAGTAAGTTTCGTTTAATCTTTTTCGTAGCTGCTAAAACAAAACAATTCTTTTTTTCCTCCCTGTTGTGTAAGTACACGTTCCGATTGATTGAACCTTACACTACACGTGTTTCGTATTGATGGGGTGAGCTACCTGGCATTTAAGCGCGAAACTGTGTGACAGTTAGCTGCAACTTTCTTATATTGAGTGACAGCAAACCGATATTGATTGCTAAATTTTAAGAGATAGAAATAAATCGGAAGTTTAAAAACCGGAATAAAGTAAGTTTGGTCTTTGCGGATAAATGCTTCTAATGCGCTAAATAACTAAGATTAAATAAGACTTAATTTGATGATATAAAAACAATCCTCTCAATAAATTCTAATTTTTATATGAAAAAGATGTTTCAATGTTTAAATAATTAACCCAATAATATTTTTGGTTTAATAATCCGACTACAACGTGAAGATAAACAACCGGTTTACAATGGATGAAACGACGATGTTTGTAATTAAAAGGCGGAAAAAAAATGCTAAGGAAAATAACTGTCAATTGTTAACTGAATTCTAATTAATATTTATAAAATGTAGGCGGAAACGATTTCATTTAAAGTAGCGTAGGGAAACGTAAATTTATTTCGTCCAAGATATCAGGCAAATGTTTTAAATTGGCGTCGAGTAATTTGATAGAAAATGTGACAAACGTCACATTAATTTGTATTTCGAAGAGCGTGCGTAGATTACTAAACGAATTAATATTTTTGTATTAAAAAGAGTGACGTTATCCGAGTGAGAAACGTTTTAATCTCGGGAGTTTGCAGGGAGCGATGAAGAAATGCGAAAAGATACAGAATAAATTCTTAAAATTAATGCGAACGTAATCGTGATTTCATTTTAAATAAATTCTGCACCCAAAAAAAACCACGACTAGTGTAGTCTCTGTAATCCGACATGTGTCGGACTATAGAGAGACTACTGTATTATGCAGTGTATAGTGTAGTCTGTGTATTATGTGTGTACAATATACTATATATGTGTATTATACGTTTTCATTCGATTTCTATTAATTATAAATAAACTATTTAACAAATGGCTAGGAGATGTCTGCCGTTCCCGAAGTTCAGACGACGTCACGTTATAAAATATATTTTTAAAAATAATTTCACTTTTTCATATTTAATCGCAATTAAAATACTGGAGTTTTAATTATTTATAAAGTGAATCGAATATATTTTTATTTATTTAAGTCGATTAATTTTTTAAAGCGGTAAGCGCATGCGCAAGAGCGTTGTTTGGCGAAAGTCGTCTGCTACGGATCGGTCATTTTGTTTGCATTGACAATTACAATGCGTAATATTAGCGACTGTATTTGATCTGTTTCGATTAATATTTTAAAAATAAATACATTTTATTGACATTTTGTAGTTTTTTTTATTTAGTTAATTACATTTATTTTGAAGTTGCGATTACCGAGCGCATGCGCAGAACCTGCATTTTGACAAATGTCGTCTGCTTCAGATCTGCCATTTTGGATGCATACTTCATATAATTTTTTCTCTGGTTTTTCAATTTTGAAAATTGTCATGCTTTTAAAGTCAATTCTTTTTCAGTACAAACAGCTATTCTATGCTTAATTCTTATTTCTTATTATTAAATTTATCCTGGGATAACAACTTAACTGCCTACCTTTATTCAAATTGCTTTTTGTCTAATTATTAATTAGCCTTAACATGGGCCAAAAAAAATTCTGGCAGATCTTACGATACTACGGATGTGCTGGGTTGTGGTGTACACCATCGTCATCCTCATTTATTTACCAAAAGGTAAAAACAAAGAAGCGAGAGAAATTGGAAACAAAGTTGACAATTTTATAGTTCCGAAGATTCTATTATTTGCTACATTTATAATTTGTATGACTAGATTGTTGGGAATAGTCTGCCAAAGGTGCTGATTTATTGGAAGAATTGCACTGATAGTCTGCCCCTGCCTCTCTTGCTGTTTAAAGCATTGTATAGTATGAAAGCCAAGATAATTGGGGATGCTGAGTGATGTACAAGCCGTTTCAATTGAAGTTGCCGTACGTGAACCATTGATGACAATATAATGTACAATGTATTTAATTTTGGAATGTTTTTTTCAAATAATGAAATTCCATGTTTTTATTGCATTTGGAAAAAGAAATGCAATAAAAACATGGAATTTGATTATGTAAATTAAATAAGTAAATTTTATCATCATTCACAATTAATGGCCTTCAATGGATCTTTATTCTCCATTTAAGGCATCTTTAAATCTAATGTTTTAGATTTGAAGACTTCTTCATGTGTATAAATACAAAATTTACCCAGTACACATTAAATTCTGTATATTTATTTAAATATATCAATATCGGTGTGATTTATAACTAAATATTGTTTTTGAATAGCGATTCTATTGTTTGTATACACACACAAATGTAGTATTCATACTGACTACATTTTTGAATTATCTGTTTTCATTCAGTTTAACTACAGCGAGCAATTATTTATTGTTAGGATGCCGGGCTGTAGCTTTTCATCACAATGCTCTTAATTTTAATGGTGTCCTGTCCCTGTACGTCATACTTTTCCTGTTAACAATGGAGTTGTGCCAGTCTCTATCTAAGTCCATTCAGGAGAAAATTTTTGAATTGAAATAACGTGACTTCTAGTTCAAACAGGAAATTCATATTATATAGGTAAATATCTCTTCAATCCGAACAAAATTTCGGTAGACTTTCTCACAGCTCTACAGGTTAAAAATCTCCTTTATTGTTTTTCACATATGCATTTCGGGCAAGTTTTATTTTTCCTGCCCCTCTTCAGTGCTACAAAACAAATTCATATTGAATTTACACAAAACAACTTTATAGTAGAAAATGCTTACAAGACATAAAAAGACACTTTATAATACCTTAAGATTTTCCCACATGTTCTTTCATCTTTTTTACAGTACTTGTACTATCAATTTACAATGTTTTCAAATTTATAATTTCCTCTTAAGGGTGTTTTACATCGAAATCCGTACCATTATGCTACACAACTAATTACAAATTATTACGGATAAAAGAACATGAAGCTGCCATACGGTTAAAACATGATAATTCACCTTGGTATAACCACATCAAAAATAGTAACTGCAAAATAGATAGAAATAATATTAAAATCCTACACTGTGAGAAAAATATATATAAACGTAAATTCAAAGAACATATAGAAATAATGAAATACAGTGGTAATAATTTAATAAACATTTCCAATGGCATGCAAATCGACCAGCAATGGTATAACATGATAGGGGGCGCAACAAGTCAATAGTTTATATTTCTAAGATTATACATTGTCGTGTAAATGAAAATTTTATTGTATGTTGAACCTTTTTAAAGTTTATACAACGTATACTACTCTGTTATTGTTGTGACACTTTTAAAGAAAAACATGTATGTATTTTTTTTAGTAAATATTTTTTTAAAGGAAAAAATTTGTTATAAATAAGTGATTTAAAATGTTACTAATAATTATAATTTGTAATTAGTTGTGTAGCATAATGGTACGGATTTCGATGTAAAACACCCTTAAGAGGAAATTATAAATTTGAAAACATTGTAAATTGATAGTACAAGTACTGTAAAAAAGATGAAAGAACATGTGGGAAAATCTTAAGGTATTATAAAGTGTCTTTTTATGTCTTGTAAGCATTTTCTACTATAAAGTTGTTTTGTGTAAATTCAATATGAATTTGTTTTGTAGCACTGAAGAGGGGCAGGAAAAATAAAACTTGCCTGAAATGCATATGTGAAAAACAATAAAGGAGATTTTTAACCTGTAGAGCTGTGAGAAAGTCTACCGAAATTTTGTTCGTCGAAATGCATATGTGAAAAACAATAAAGGAGATTTTTAACCTGTAGAGCTGTGAGAAAGTCTACCGAAATTTTGTTCGGATTGAAGAGACATTTACCTATATAATACGTAATACAGCTACCATTTGAAATTCAACAGGAAATTCATATTTAGTTAAATTTTATATTTCTCTCTCATATTAATTATGTTATAGAGTTTTAAATGAATAGTGGAAATTCTACTAAATTATGTCTATATACTTATCGTATCCGATGATAACTTCAGGTGTGATGATTTCTTTGTATATTAGTATCGATTAGGAGCAGTTAAATTTTATAGGCTTTCTCGTTTTGTATATATTTTTAGTAAAAGAATGATATAGTTAATACAGTACGTCAATGCAATATTCAAATGTGTGTATAAGGAAGAGAATGTTAACTAAATTCAGTAAAAAACAAAAAAGATTATAAGGAACTGAATAAATGTATTATTTAAAATGATCATACGTTAATGTAATCAATATTATTTCTTATATAACCAGATTTTTATTATTAGGATATACTATAGTTTATATGATACATAATATGGTTAAAAATTACAGCAATGTGAAATTAGAATTATAAAATTTTTAAATTAATTTTCTTTTTTAGCTAAAATCAATGATGCAGTTACTTTTGGAGAAGAGGAGGAAGACGATAACATCATTGAATTTGATGAAGTTAGTGGAGAGGAAGACATTGATAATGTATGTACCATAAATTTTTTTATTTATCTAACAGGAACGTGATTGCATTTTTATCATTTTTAAATGAAGTTTATTAATTAATAATTGGTAACAAGGAAAAAATGATATTTTATTACCTTGTTTGATTTCTCAAGATCTTAAGATCTGCGAGAGTAATTATAAAATGCATTTTCATAAAGATACTAAAATACAGGATGCCCTAAAATTACCTATATAATTTCCTTCTGTTAAAGTAGACCATCACCGAGTGTAAAAATTCCAGCATTGTGTCATTTTACAGAGAAACTTACTTTTTTCTGTATAAAGTTTTTTGTTTGTACCAAGTTCATTTTGTTTGGATTGACCATGGAGGTGCAATTCATAGGCTAGCTAGATCTGATATCACACCTTTCTTTCTTTCTTTCTTTCTTTGGGGATCATGTGACAATATGCAGGTGATAGACATTGATGATTCAAAAGTAAGAATCACATATGCTATTGAACATATTGATGCGAAAGTGCTGCAGTGTACAATACACGGTGGCATTTGGAGTATCAACTGGATATTTAGCAATTCACTAATTGTGCGTGTATTGAATGTTTGCAACATTATTGCTTTAATTTTGGAAAATGGAGATTCTAAAATTTCTTATGTAACAATCTTGCATGCATTGTCATAAAATTCATTGAAGAATAAGTTGTATGGATAATTTTCGGGCACCCTATGTATTATGTATATATATAATAATTTTTCTGGTATTATGCTTTACTATAGGAATAGATTTGATAGTAAAATCTTTATAATAATTAGTGTTACTGAATGTTAACAATTTGATAAACATCTTTTATGGAATTAGAGATTTTTCATTTGTCTTCATATTAGGTCCATTAATCATTACCATATTAAAGATTGATAATCTGTTAATTGAGATAATCTCCATTTATTACAAAAAAGCATGCTAGAAAAACAATCAAATTTTTGATTCTTTTGATTCTCTGATGTAATGTGAACAATGAGTTGTGATTATAATATTAATTAAAATAATTTCTTTCAGTTAAAATTATAACAGTGTTCCAGATAAAATTTATTGTCATGTCTTTATCTAGTAATCTTTAAAATTGTTCAAATTTCCATTATAAAATGACATGAAAAATTCAGTTTTAAATCTATTCTGGATTCTGTGCGGATTGTTTGAGTGGAATGCATATTGTTGTACCTTGTCTGTCATGCTTGCTGGTCAACTTACTGTGGTTCGGCATTAATCATAAAAGAAAATTGAGGCTGTTATCTAAGTCGTAAATAATACAAAAACCAAATATTCAGGATTAGAGATTGTTTCGATCATTTTTCTACAGAATTAATATATCAAATTTATTTAAAAGGTGTATATATTTACATCATTTATTATAATCAATTATTATCTTTTATCCATTTCTAATATATTATTTATTCTGAATTAGAAATGGTGTAAATATTGTGTAAAGTCAGTTGATTTATGATAAAGTTGCAGGTTTGTTTCCTGTCTTTATGTAATAGGAAATGATGTTATGATATATAATTGATACTAACATACATTTAAAAAATTTTTTTAAATATTTCTTTTCCCAAAAATGTTTGATGTGACATCATATTTTGAAATATAAAAATCGTAGCTTATCTTCTCTCTGCCTTAAGCTTTTTTCAATGCAGTTTTATTTCCCAAATATATTGTCGAACATTTCTGAATATGATAGAAAACAGACAGTACAAATAGTAAATATGTATTTTATGAAGGATTCCACCAATAACGACTGGTAATGCTTAATATATAAATGTAGTAGATGAAAGTATGTAATATTTATATATGTATATAAACTGTGTTTTTTTTAGATATAAACTGAAATATTTTGATATAATTTTAATTCATTTGCTTTACATGTCTTATTGCTTTTTCTGTAAAATAAGCAAATTTGATGAAAAATTGTAAATAATGATGAAATAAATATAGTATCTTTGTTATAATATTGAATTAATATCTACAATAAATATTTAAACATTTTAAGTCTTGAAATGTTTTCATTTTATACATATCCAATATAGTAAACACTTAAAATGTTTGAATATTTTCTGAAGATGCTAGTTAAATGGATATTTTAAATTTATAACATTTAAATATTTATTCTTATCATAAATTGTTTATATTTTATTGCTATAAATTTTATATTTATTTATTTTTTCCTTGTTTGATCAATATTTGAGTCTTTAGTGTCACTAATTATTATTTCACTTTATTTATGTCTGACTTCATTTCCATCAATCTTATTTGCCTTCTTATCTGTATTTCTTTTTTGCTTTATGATGATAAATTGCTATATCATTCCGAGAGATTATTTTTTAATGCAGCCAGATTTTTATATCAAATTTAGATCGTTCAGGTCAATTTTTATATCGCATTTACGTTGCACTCAGGAAAAATAAAATTTAGATTACTTTAATTTAAACTTTGGTTTTTGGGGTTTATTTAAAATTTCAAATTTAAGCATTTGAATTAAAGTTAATAATAATTTTATTAATTATTTTTACTTAATTGCATGTGTAATTTATTTCATCCATTTTATTAATTGTATCGTACATTTTTTAAATTAAATGAACAAATCTTAAGTTGTCACTTACAAATTTTATTTCATATTTGTACATTGAAGTCAATATAAAACTATTATGTCAGGTTTACATAAAAACTGAATGCAACAAGTTAGATTTCAGATTAGTCTCTAATTAATCAGCATAATTAATCTAATTAATTAGTGAACATCAAGTGCCAAGAGAAAGAAAGAATACTAGCAATCCATTAGGAAAATTATATTGTATATAATAAATAGTATCCGAAGAACTCCGACAATTATAAAATGATTAACTAGAAGTATAATTTTTGAAATGCTAAATCCTTTCTAAATATATAAAAATAGACAATCAGAGTTGATAATTTTCTCCGTGCTCAAATAAAAATCGACACGCTAAAAATAGAAACGATTAATTTTAAAATATTCGAGTAATGGTTTTCTACAATTAATATTTTAATTAAGCGTTTTGATAAATTAATGTAAATAATATAATTCTTAATTTGATTTATGCCAATGCATTTGCATGCAACCAGAAAAATTTTGCTTTACTTAGATATAATTTCATTCTAGAATAATCAAAGTATAGATTTTTATATTAAATCTAGTTTAGTGTCTAAAATAGGAATAAATTCTTTCTTTATTTTTGTCTTTATTAGCAATAGAACTAAAATTGTCATGAGTTTTTGAATTGATTTTTTTTCTTCCTGTTTGTTTTGTTTTAATACTGTATTTACTTAGTTTTTTCTCATCTTACTTTATAATTTTATATTAAAATACAAAAGTGCATAATAAATTTTTAAATATAAGTGAAATCGTTTTGTATTTCAATTTTTTATAGATATAGATACCAAATTTGTGTGCCATCATATTCAACCAGGGATATGTTTGAAGAAAATATAATTATTGAAATTTAAGAAAACATTATTTGGCTTCAAAATTTGGATGTATTGTCTTCTCTATTAAAAATCAAGTTTTTTAAAATATTTTTCCTTGATCTATTTTTTATTAATTAATTACTGATTCTATAATTACTGATGTAAATATAATAGAATAAAATATTTTTAAATTTCAATGTAACATGTTAATGAAGCTATTTTTGAGTTTCAATCCTGCGTCGAGACGTCACACAATGCAAAAGTAGTTTTCCGGTAAAATATTTGAATTATGTTCAAGAAATTTTTGGAAATTGTATAAATCCGAGAAATGTCTCGTGAATCGTAAATGCATTATTTTATTTATGTATATCGTGTCTGTGAAGTGGAATTATCTAAAAGTTACTAATTATTTTTTAAAAAGTTTTTTCTAATAAATGTATATTCCATTTTTAATTGTTCGGAACATTAGTCTAAAGAAATGATTAATTTCACAATTATGACTGATTTAATTTTAAAAAGTTAAGTTTTTAAGTAGATATAAATCTTGTAATTTCATTCCTGAAACAAAATGGAAACAATAAATTATCTCTTGTAGAAATTTTTATATAAATTATCCTCAGCATTTCATTTTACAGAAGTACAAAAAGTAAGATTGCTATCATTAGCATTAGCTTTTCTTTATGAACAGTGTACATTAGGAAAAAAATTCTAAAAAATATATCTAAAAGTGATGTTTTAAGAGACTGTATCTATTACAGAAATGTAAAAATGTTTTTCATATATATATATAAATTTAAAATGAGAAGAAAAAATTATTTTTGATGGAAAAATGGCAAGAAAAATTTGTAAAAAAAACATTTTAAAAAAAGGAGTTTAAAAAGGTATTCATTTAAATTTGTCAGTTTTTAAGAAAATTATCAGTAAAAACTCCCAATCTGATTATTCTACTTTGATTTATAAAATCTTTAATAGAATTCGGGCATAAATAGCAAGCTTATTACTCGTATGAGTATGATTTTCTCCACGCTTTCATGGTTTAAATAAATATATATTTTGAACGGCCTCTACGGATATATATAGAGAAACATTTTTAGTCATGTATAGTACTGTTTTCTCTATCATATCTACAGAATAAAATTTAATATATATCATCATTTAGAATGACATTGTTTTCTATAAATGTTATCTTATATTTCTGTGTATTTACTGTTTGAATGTTATATATCTTATTGATACTAATCTCATAGAATAAAAGTGACAAGAATGTAAGTTAGAATGATTCCCACAGTTTAATAAACTAGAAAAAATTGTTATTCTTTTTCTGAAGTCGTGGTCGTGCTTCACAAATGACATTTAAATTTTAATTATGAAATTATATTTTACTCCGTCTGATAGGCGAGATTGATTTATTGGCGTTACGACTCAAATTTTTTTTCTTTTCAATCGGCATATGCTGGCAAAGCACATTAAACTTTTTATTCTAAATATATTATTAACGGGATGTGTTGCATGAAGAATTAAAATTTAAGAAAATCTTCAAGGTTTAAAATGATTTCTTGCAATAATAATGATATTATACAATGTAAACTTTTGTATAATCATATATTACCAATTTTTAATGTATGATTTGAGTAAATATTTTGAGATATTTATCAATTATATCTTGTAGTAGCATGTAACTTACTTTTAATCATTAGTACTTGTCAAGAAGACAAGTTAAAAGTAGAAATAATAACTCCTAAGGTTTAAATTGGATAAACTTTAGCTCTAAGAACAACTAGAAACATTCAACTTTCAGTAAATTCATTGAATTATACAAAAAGCAAAGATCAGGATAAACTAGAGTATAAAATACCAACAATTTTTCTATATATATGTTTAGAATAACTTGCATTTAAATATGTTAAACAGACATTTAATTGGCACTGGATAATGGATTAATAATAATTGAATTTTATTAATCTATTATTCAGATATCATTAAACAGATGTTTTATGTGTAATTTGTATGCGATTTATTTATTATTAAATATTAATTTTGACTTTTATTAACCAAATTTATAGCAAATTAAGAAAATCACAATTTTTATTTAAAAGAAGTTTGAATATTTTTACTGACTTTTATGTTGAAATTTCTGTAACTAGAATATACTGTGGAATTTGGAATTTAGTATAAAACAAACTGTTAACTTGATTATCATCAGTTATTTTTAGTAATGTTTTGATTATGTAAACTCACTTCCTCAGTTTCCTTTGAATAGTTTATATATAAACAGCATAAAATCCGAAATAGTGTCGGCCAATTGCGGTGTACAGACCTCGAGAGAAAAAAGGACAATCAATCAGCTGGTTACATTCAACCCGACAGTAAACGTTGATATTTGTCAACTAGTCAACTGGTGTATCTGAACAAAAGTTACATTCTTTACATTATATCTAATGTATTTCTCGGTCCTTCTTCCTGAGAGCTTCGCAAAGCAAACATCGGAAACTTTACCTCAAGGCCCATTATCAATATTACATGCATTTTAACCAACGACATGATCGGGAGAATAAATCTAACAAAGCTATAATTTGAAAATTAATTATTGATAAATGTTAGTAAATTACAAGCAATACTCTTGTTGTGATATTATATCAGAGCAGAATAATAAAATTCCAGTTTTTTTTCATTTAGGATAACTCTTATCTTTCGTATATTTTTTAAATTTCATTGTTTACAGCAAAGGTGACATATCAAGTGACAAATTAAAGTATTTATTTAGTCCGTAAATTACATTAACTTTATTTAATTATTTACCAACACCCCAAAGAGGCCACACCACGGTGCACTAAGATGTAAAATGTAAAGGAAAGAACCTAGACGGATGGTTTTACCACCTCCGTTTATTAATTTACGTCTTCGAAATACGTATGGTTAAACGACTTAATCGAGTAGAACACTTAATAAAAATTAATATTTCAAAATAACTAATAATAAGCGAAGAGAGAAACAGATGCATTTCATTAAATGAGCATAAATTAGAAATGCTACACCTCCGGCCTTAAAATCTCGTATTAACGGGCCGCAGAGCGAAAATTAAACACTCAAAATTATTCAACATGATCAAAAATAATGATTTATCTCGGAGGCCAATTCAATTACCCACGCCGAATCCTCTTTTCTGGGATGGGAGGGACTGTGTAGGCTACATAATGTAGTTGACACAGTCCCATTGTAAATATTAACACTTAATCATTTTTTTCATTCCTAGATGGCAGCACATATGTAATAATTCAAAAAAATTAACAGCCTGTAATGTAATTCTTACTTAAAATTTCAACATATTCATTAAACACTTAAAATATTTTGTAAACAATTAGTTTAATGTTTACAATAACACTATGTTAAAGAAAATTCATTTAGTCACATGGAATAACAATAAATTAAAAGTGTGTAAGTGAGAACATGTATACTTTTTGTTTAATGAACATAAATTAGGAGACTGTTGTATTTTTATAAAATTTAAAACCAGAATTAAAATTCGAGCAGCATTTTTTAAGCTCCCTTTCGTTAAAAGGAACCAAATAATCAATTAATTACAACGGCAGATTATCAAAAGTGCTTTAGGGTTTATTAAAAAAAAAAACACTAAAAATTTTTTATTTAAGTTTATTTAAGATTTTAGATCAAACTACTTGTTAATATCCAAAAGTTTTTATTTTAATAATAATCTTACATAAAGATCCAATTACCAAAAATCATTACAATCTCATCACCATGAAGAGTTCTTTACAAATGTTTATATACAAAGTTACATTAGAAGAACTATAAATGACAATTTAAAGTTATTTTATTGTGTTTCATTGAATGTTGGTTGATTTTATTTTAATTTTGTTTGTAAATAAATTTTAAGTTGTTAGATAATAAAGTTCTTTTCAATATTCCTACAACAAATACACTTTAATAAGTAGTTTATCTGTTGTAGGGATGAAGCAATTGGTATCTTTTCAGTCTTTTCTTAGAATTAATACATTATTATTTTGTTTAAAGCACCAAAAAAAACCAAAGAGCTTTGTATATATATTTTATTCGGAAGTATCGGAGTGCCATACCTTCTTTTTTATCCGTCTGTTTATTTATTTTCTTTCTATTTCTCTGAAACTTTACTCGCCGTATCAAATTTTCTTCCTTTCGATAAGATCCTTTTAGATTCTCTCTCTCTTTACGGATAGCGTCCCAAGGAATGCAAGTGCGTCGACTCCAGACCGAGCCAGAAAACTGCCGTCGTCCAATCTCTCGTATTTTTCTCGATTTAAATTGCCAGTTCTCATTGCGTCCAAAGTAAATCTAGAAAAATTTTGCACCGCCCGCCACAGTAGCTCTTCCGGCAGCCTTCTCGACATAATTATTGATTTTACTAAAGGCATGTTGTGTTTTATATAAATTTACACATTAATTCTTTTTTTAATTTGTTCGGTCGCCACATCAATAATGGGGAAGATATTTACATTTCATTTATTTCGGCCAAGGCCCTTACGGATTAGTATAATTACACTCTTCGCAATCGAAACCTTCCCGAGCTAAATCGACGTTAAACATAAAAATCTTCTTTTATATTATTCTCATATTAACAGGGATTAAAATCAAACCTATGAGGATTTAATGTAATTTCTTAATCAGTTTGAAAGTGATTTCTATTCCCCTCTTCCTTTTCATTAACCCTGTTAACTCCTGTATTAATTTTTCATAAACTTGATCTCTGGGCACATGACTTACACAAATAAAAATGTAATTTATTATATTTTTGTGAAGCTGTTACATAAATATTTGTTTATAAGTTAAAGAACATCAATTCAAAGTAGCTATTTTTGATACTATGATTAAAAAAAACTAATGTCTCAGGAGATGAAAGGGGTGAGAATATCAAATTTATATTAAATTAGATTTAAAAATACACACAGAAGTAGTGTAGACAGGTAGACAGGTGTGTATGTGTGTGTGTGTAATTTTTTGGGAATAAAAAAAATGAAAGCACAAACTTAATTATTTAAATATTATTAAGTTTTATACATTTAAATCATAATTAAGCTGGATAATCCATGATATTGTTAAGGTAGATGGAATTC